CTTTTAGCATCGAGGCTAGATAATTGAAACAAATATCTATCTTATTGATCTTATAAGTTCTGGTTATGACACCGCAAATTCTATTGAATGCCTTAAGGAAGGCATTCTTGAGTCTAGAGATGGTGTCCTTATTGATAATAGATGAGTGCCACCGTGCTACTGGAAACCATCCATATGCAAGAATAATGATGGTCATTAATCCAAAAAACTTTTTGCAAGAATTTAGTGATTTTTTTTTTGTTATTGTCCCTGATTAAAAATGAATTTTTTTGTGTTCCTAATTTCGATGTAGGAATTTTATGACAAATCCAAGAACAAGCCAAAGAATTTTGGAATGACAACATCACCTGTAATTAGCAAAGGTTATCCTTTGTTTAAATCCTGTGTTGCTCGAGTTTTGTGCCTATTGCCTAAATATTAAGTAAAGTTGCTTGAACCATTAGGGACCTATTTCTAAAGAAAATCAACTTGAAGCTAGGAGCCTTGTGCTTCTCGGTTTATTGGTGTCGCAGCCTTTAAAGGTACTTTGACTCAACTTTGTGTCAGAATTTTCTAGTTCGAATTTGAAAGCAATGGTAGATGCCTCTTGGTTAAAGGTATCCATGGACTTGTATAACGTGATTCACATGTGTGTGGCAATTGTTGTATGCATTTATCATGTTAGATGTTGAAGTCATTTTACCTTTTCCTGGACAGATCGATGTGTCATTGTTGAAGTTGCAAGACTTGCTGCAAGTTTCTTATAAAGACTTGGATGATAAGCTTAAAGCACTACGAAAACGATTATCGAATGAAAAATCTAAGATTCTGCATTGTCTTGACAATCTTGGTCTCATATGTGCTTATGAGGTATAATTTATGTTGTCACAGATTTCAACTAGAGAGAATAAAAGAATGATATTTAAGAGGAAAAATGTGTTATCTTGTTTTCTCATGCTATATAAAATTCAAGCTGCTGTTCTACCAAATACATAGGTTTGACCTTAATCAGCTAAAAAGCATGATCTAGAAACCTAAGGAAAAAAATAAAATCATGAACTAAGCCTTAATTAAAAACCTAAATTAATGGTATTTCGTAATCGTAACATAGAGTCGGCCAGTAGCATTTTCACAGCAACCCTCTACTCGTCTTTCTTAAATATCCACTACATGTCTTAATCTTGTGTAAAATAGTTTATATAGGTTTGTTTGGGCTTTATATACTTTATTTTCCTGCTATGTCTTCCCATTTGGGATGATGTGCCCTATGTTACTTCTTTCCTAGGCTGTTAACGTCTGTCTAGAGAACATCAATGACACTAAAGATGAATGTGAAGCATATAGAGAAGGTGTGATGCAGTGCAAAAATTTTCTTGAGGAAGTCCGATGCTTAACTGGGGAGTCCCTTCTCCTCGGTACAAGTATATACATGAAATATGGATTTATTACTCTAATATGGAAAGGAAGAAATCGATGACATACTTGATGGTCGATAGTTGGTGATCGGACTGGCGACGACGGCGTGATTTAGAGTCAGATTTCTGATAAGAGTTGAAAGGAAGAAGAAGGTTCGAATAAAATTAGGGATTTGGATCCCGATATGTTAAAGTAGTGTTCAGTAGCAGCCTTTTTTTTAAGTAAACGCCACTAGGTTATATGACAATTGCGGCGTTTGGTACTAAAATGCCATTAAACTGCATGTCGATCGCGGCGCTTATCGATAAACACCGCCTTATACTATTCAATCGCGGCGTTTTTAAATAAAAACGCCGCTAAGGTACTTACCTATTGCGGCGCTACTCCATAAACGCCGCTACTGATTTTATTTGGGAAGCGCTTCCTAAAGTACGAGTATTTAGCGGTGTTTGTATAAAAACACTACTAAAGTACGAGCCTATAGCGGCGTTTGTATAAAAACACCACGAAAGTATTAGTCTTTAGCGGCGTTCGTATACAAACGACGCTAAAGTAAGAGACTTTTGCAGCGTTTATTCTAAAAACGCCGTAAAAAATACCGCTATAAACCTATTTTGATGTATATAATATAGTTGATTTTGTTGCACGGTCAAAATCATCAAATTTAGGATTTATATTTCGAGATCAACAAATTTGATACATTTAAGACATCGTATTAAATCGAATATTAGATTATTATTACACTCTTTTATTTGAAGTTGTGTTTAAATTATGCTTTTATTCTATCTATTTTTGTTAGATTAAATAATGAACTCGTTTAAATAACGTTAACTATTTTGTTTTCTTATGAATGTTGACATTAATTATTTAAATATGTATTTTATTGTTAGGTACAAAATTATATCCCATCACTTAAGACCAATATACCATATCATATTTTATTTTTTAAAAATAATAAAATATTTTTAAAACATTATTCTCGTATTTTTAATAAAAAAATGTCATTAACTAATCATTTAACCTTTAAATTAATGGGTTTCAATTTTTAGATAATGAAATCATTGACCATCAGAATAAATAAACAAAATTATTATAGTCAACGCTTTAAGATAAATATTTACAATCAAAAGAGTATTTAGATTTAAAAGCTAACTTAAAAAAAATATTTTCTGAGGGTAAACTAATAAACCCTAAATCCTAGTCGTCTCTCCCTTTTTTTCAAATTAATTTTCTTTCAATAATTTTACGCATCTTTTCCTTTATGTTTGATTTTTGTTTAGTTAGCGACGACATCCGTTTTAATGTTGTTTGTTGACCGTCAGTGACTATTAATTCTTTTATTTTTATATTATGTATTTTATATTTTTTCTTGAATATTTTTAATTTTAAATAAGAATTTATCTTTCTGACACTTTTTTTCTATGCTCTAGTAACAAGCTTTTTCTATGCTCTTGTGGCATTATTTTTATGGTTTTTGGTACATTTTTTGCATACTTTTGTAGTCTTTGTGTTATTTACACAAAAAACTTCATAACATTTATTTTTTGATTGGTTTGTCAGTAGTCACGTATAATCAGATCTCATCTTTGGTAAAAGAATATTTGTCAATGTAATCACAATTGTGTAGCAAAACAACCTATCAAAATGTTTGGTTTGTTCACTATTCCTTTATCACTTTGTAAATGTCTCATTTGACAGAGACAAAGAATTTTGACGAAAGTTATTGAATTTTAATGTTAGTCACAATTAAATGTTTTGTTTTGTTTTTTTTTTTTTTGTATTTTTATATTTAGTATTTTATTTTTGTATAAGTGTTTTGATGACTATTATGTTCAATTTCTTCTCAATATTTTAATGCGTCAGTAATTTTAATTCCTTTCGTCATTAATTAAATGCACATGTCATAAGAAAAATTTTAAAGATAACATCAATCGCGACACGGAATTGATTTCTGTGGCTGAAATCAATACTATTTAAGGCATCTCATCCACACAATATATACTAAGAGAGAGGGGAAGAAAGAAGAAGCTGAGAAGTAAGCAAATGGGAGGTGCAGAGGGGAGTAGCAAAGACAATAGATGGAGTCTTCAAGGCATGACTGCCCTTGTTACTGGTGGATCCAAAGGGATTGGGAAAATTTCTCTTTTTCTTCATTACATGTATTCGGAATACACAGATTTGATACTAGTCTAGTTGAAATTCACTCAAAAGAGATAATTGCAATGCGAGCAGCCATGCAATCGTGGAGGAATTAGCAGGACTGGGAGCAAGGGTACATACATGCTGTCGTACTGAATCCCAGCTCAAAAATTGCTTGCTCCAATGGAAAGCCAAGGGTTTCCACGTCACGGCTTCGGTGTGTGATGTTTCGAATCAAGCTCAAAGGGAAAAACTGATAAAAACTGTTTCATCTGAGTTCGATGGGAAGCTCAACATCTTGGTATATTGTTCTGAATTTGTTATAAATTAGATGGGTCTGAATTTGTGATGAAGAATGGTAAAATTTGCAGGTAAATAATGTGGGAAATAACATCGGGAAAATGGTGTCCGATTACACAGCGGAAGATGTTTCATTCTGGCGAGTACCAACTTTGAATCAGCTTATAACATTAGCATACTGGCTCATCCTCTCTTTAAACCTTCAGCGTCTGGAAGCATTGTGTTTATCTCTTCAATTGGTGGTATTATGCCTGCATATTTAGGACCTATATATGGAGCCAACAAAGGTAATACTTTGCTTCTAAATTTGACCCTTCTTGTATTTTAACATATGTTTTTCTTGAGTACATGATGTTACATTTATGTTATTCAAGTTTCATATTCATACAGTTTTTCATGCTTTTTATATTTTTATAACTTTCGATAAATTGATAATTTCTGCTATTCAGAGTACGACATGTTCTAATTTCTTTTTCGTACTGTGTTATATCATACAAGAATTGTTTGTTTTACTTGGGATTCATATCATCTTGAACATTGCAGATAGGTTTTTTCTTCCATCCATGTATACATATGGTATATAAGATGTATTTGATTTTGTTGCAGAGGCCATGAACCAACTTGGGAAGTACATGGCATATGATTGGGCAGGAGATAATATAAGGGTTAATAGTATTACACCCGGGTTGATCAAAACTCCCCTTGCTGAACGTGTAAACTCTTCCACATGCTTATCTTTAATGTTTAGCCCATATTTACCCTACTTAATGATATAAAACAACTTCTTGAAGCGATTAGCCTGTGTCTTTAGTAAGCATGAGTCAGATTTTTATAACAGTTCATTGATGTAACAATTGATAAACAATAATTCGGACATTACTTCATTTTTAACCCATTATACTGTCTTAAACCACTACTTCATTTGTTATATATAAATAATCAGTTATAAAAATAAATAAATTTTGAATTAGTTTCATTTATCCAAATTAAAAACTTGTTATGAACACTCTTTCCTTCTTTGTTTTTGCTTAAAGATAATAGATGTATTGATAGATTTTTTATTGTACATATTTTTGCAGTATATTGAAGGTCACGGAGAAACAATAGAGACAACCAAAAATCTAACAGCATTAGGACGACTTGGAGAACCGAAGGAAGTATCGGCAATGGTGGCGTTCCTGTGCCTACCGGCGGCTTCATATGTAACTGGACAGGTTATTTGTGTTGATGGAGGGATGACAGTAAATGGCATTTACTTTCCAAAATAAATTACACCGCCGTGAACACCGTGAGCCATGAGTCAACTCAAATTTCTACGTAGTTTGTAATCTGCGATGCATGAGGCATGTTTGAACTCTTAGGTAGAGGTTTTATTGCCAGTCCAAACTCTCATTATTACCACAGTAATGACTTAATGTCCAAAATTATATCCCGACACTTAAGACCAATATACCATATCATATTTTATTTTTAAAAAATAATAAAATATTTTTAAAACATTATTCTCGTATTTTTAATAAAAAATGTCATTAACTAATCATTTAACTTTTAAATTAATGGACTTCAATTGTTAGATAATGGAATCATTGACCATCAGAATAAATAAACAAAATTATTATAGTCAATGCTTTAAGATGAATATTTACAATCAAAAGAGTATTTAGATTTAAAAGCTAACTTAAAAAAATATTTTCTCACGGTAAACTAATAAACCCTAAATCCTAGTCGTCTCTCCCTTTTTCAATTTAATTTTCTTTCAATAATTTTATGCGTCTTCTCCTTTCCGTTTGACTTTTGTCTAGCTGGCGGCGGCGACGGTTTTTAATGTTGTTTGCTTGCCGTGCGTGACTATTAGTTCTTTTGTTTTTATAGCATGTCTTTTATTTTTATTTTTTTGAATTTTTTTTAATAAGAATTTATGTCTTTTTGATACGATTTTTATACTCTAGTGACACATTTTTCTATGTTCTTGTGGCATTATTCTTATAGTTTTTTGTACATTTTTTGCATACTTCTATAGTCGTTGTGGTACTTACACGAAAATCATCACGACGTTTATTTTTTTGATTGGTTTGTCGATAGTCACGTATAATTAAATCTCATCTTTGGTAAAAGATTGCTTGCCAATATAATAACAATTGTGTAGCGAAACAACCTAACAAAATGTTTGGAGGAATTAAAGTACGCGAAAAGATTATTTATTACTATTATATTGCCTTCAACGTATTTGTTTTTAAGTCATGTGTGAAACGCACCTATTGCAATGATAGCAGACATGCAATCGTGGAGGAATTAGCAGGACTTGGAGCAAGCGTACATACATGCTCTCGAACTGAATCCCAGCTCAACACTTGCTTGCTCCAATGGAAAGCCGAGGGTTTCCAAGTCAGAGGTTCGGTGTGTGATGTTTCAAATCAAGATCAAAGGGAAAAGCTGATAAACAGTGTTTCATCTGAGTTCGATGGGAAGCTCAACATCTTGGTATATTATCCTGAATTGGTTATAAATTAGATGAATCTAAACTTGTGATGATGATTGGTAAAATTTGCAGGTAAATACTGTGGGAAATAACATCGTGAAAATGGTGACGGATTACACAGCGGAAGATGTTTCATCTCTGGCGAGTACCAACTTTTAATTAGCTTATAACATTACCAAACTGGCTCATCCTCTCTTGAAAGCTTCAGCGTCGGGAAGCATTGTGTTTATCTCTTCAATTGGTTCTGTTATGCCTGCATATTTAGTAGCGATATATGGAGCCAATAAAGGTAATACTTTGCTTCTATATGATCCTTCCTATATTTTAACATATGTTGTGTACATATATAAATTTTGAAGATGTCACATCAAGTTTCATATTCATATAGTTTTTGTCTTCTTTGTTGTACTATAATGATGCTTAAATTATTTTTGATAAATTATTATAATTTATATTCTTTTGACCTCGACATTTTTAATTTCTTCTCATACAATAGTATTTCTTTAATTTTTCTTTTACTTGGGATTCGTATCTTGTTTTTCTTTCATCTGTGTATGCATATAATATATAAATTATTTGATTTTGTTGTAGGGGCCATGAACCAACTTGGGAAATACTTGGCATGTGACTGCGCAGGAGATAATATTAGGGTTAATATTATTGCACCCGGGTTTATCAAAACTCCCCTTGTTCAACGTGTAAGTAAAACTCTTCCACGTGCTTATCTTTTACGTTTAGTCCCTAATTAGCCTATAAAACACCTGGAAACGATAAGCCTGTCATTAGTAAGCATGAGTCGGATTTTGATAACAGTTCGTTGATGTAACAATTGATAAAAAAAAAGATAACGTAGACACTTGTTCATTTTCAACTCATTAAACTGGCGTATATTTTTTTTTTGCTCAGCAACAAGAACGTTTTAAAATTGATAAGGGGGAAGAAAAACGAATCCTTAAGTGTGAGTCTCATTAAAAAAAACCCTAAACTTAAAAAGGGGAAAAGAGTACTCCACACTTGAGGATTGTCGCAACCGTCTTTCGGTTGTGTTCCGGAATTGAGCTTCGACGTGAAAAATAGATTGGGAGTCGCCACCGATCATTTACTTTACGAAAAGTGGGTTGATCGAATACCTTATTTCTTACCTGATCTGCGTCTTACCAGTGATATGTCGGATCCGGGAGTCGGTTACGGTCAAGGAAGGATTAACACCCTTGAACCGCCCTTTCGGTACTATGTAATTTCCAGTTGTCTTTAATTAAGAAAGTTGAAAGTTTAAATTGAAAGGTAAAATAACGATCCAAAACTTACATTTGATTGATTGAAAATGTACCCTTAAGAAAGTAAAAAAGCCATGTTAGATAAAATGATAAGAAATTAATTAATTAAATTAAAATGAAAAGAAAACAAATTAAGTAAAATGATAAAATGAAGAAAGCAAAGATAAAATAGTAAGTAAAAAAATAAATAATAAAATATATATAAAAAAGAAAAAGAAAATAAATAAAACAAATAAACAAAATAATAATAACAAATTACGAATAATATATATATATATATAAAATAAATAAAAAAGTAAATATATATAAATTAATAAATTAAATGACGAAAAGAACATATACACATATAATAGTAAAAAAAACCAAATAAAGATAATTACAATATATATATATATATATAGTAACAATACTAATAATGATAATAAGTAGTTAAAAAAGACAATCACACCGAAAATGGAAGAAAAGAAAGTAAGGTTTGGTGAAGTATAATTGACAGGAAGAAAAAATGATGAGGGGTGGGGACAAAGTAGGTAGATATAATTAATTTGTGTAGAATATATATATACATAATAATAGTAAAATGTATATATAACAACAATAATATCAATAAAAAAGAAAATAAATATAATATAATGATAATAAAAAATATAGAAAATTAATAGAAAAATATATGTATAATATTATAAAATATAGCACTTAAAATAAAAAAACCAAATATTTATTAATAATAGGTATAAAAATTAAAATATTTAAAAAGAACATACGCATATATATATATATATATATATATATATATCAAAATAAATAATATAAAAATAATACAAGTAATAATACAAGAATAATAAAAAGAAAGAGAAAGTAAAAAAATATAATGATAATAAAATATAAAAAATATACATATATAATATAAATAAGTAGAATAAAAGGAAATATAATAATAAAAATAATAAATATAATAGTAATAATAAAAATGCAAAGAAAATAAATATATATATATATATATATATATGGGTAATAACGTATATAAATAGAGAAAAATTTAAAAAGTGATAAATTAAAAATAAAATTAGCAAGTATGTATATATATATATATATAAAACTAATTAAGGGATTAAAATGAAAGGAATGTAAATTAAGTGGTTAAATGTCAAAGAACATCGAAGATTAAAACCGGCAAAAATAAAAAAGTTTTCATTTTTTGATAGATTTTCGCACTCTCATTCAAAAAATGTAATTTGTTTGTGCGAAATAGCCTCTAGGGAGCGTAGATCTGAAATCAAAGTTTCGAAAAAAACTCCCTCTGGGTCATCGGCTAAAACATTTGTCTTTGGGGTTCTCCAAAGAAAACACGATTAACAACGCATGCAAGTGAAGAGTAAAGAGAAACAAACGAATGATAAAAAAACTCACCTTTATTACTTCGAATCGTTTACAATAGCTTTGTCTTTGTATTTTCCGTGTTTTCCTCTGTGTTTTGTCTGTAAATCGTGTCTTACAATAGTGAGTTACAATGGCTATTTATAGTGCTTGTGGATCCTATCTTTAGTAGTTTAAATCATAGTAGAACTCTATCTTATTTTAAGGAGTTTGAATCCTAGCAAAATTCTATCCTATTTTTAGGAGTTTGAATCCTAGTAGGACGAAAATGTGTGTTGACAGCTGCCCCTCTTTGCCCATAGTCGTTTAACGGGGATAGGGCAAAGATTAAAAGACAAACTTTTCGTTCGGTGGAGTTGAAAATTGACTCTAATGTTTCAATAACTCCCTGTAGAATTGAGTTACGGATGACTCCTCCGTCGTGAAGCCGAGTTCATCTTGAAATGATATGAAATTGAGGCCGTAGTTCAGAATTTGAATCAGCACGTGGCTTCTCGTTGCCCTTCGGTCTTCTTCTCGGTTTAAAGACCTTGGATCGGAATCGAACTGAGAAATCTTCATTGACAGATAGCTTTTGCTTGAAAATGGTTGCTTGTCACTAAAGCACGGTTAACCCAGGTCCTCTTCTCGACTTGAAAACCTCGACTGCAACTGGAAAGTAGTGCGATTGATGTGTCATCGAGCTGAATGAAATCGAACTCGACAATTTTGATGGCAGATAACCCTTCTAGCATTGAGTTATGCAGTAAATGATGTGCCTTGGAGCTAAGCGTAGTCGAACTCGAAGGTATTTGTTAACAAATACTCCATCTTTGAGTTGGATATCCTTCGTCGTGAAGTTGAAATCCAATCTAAAGATGGATGATGCTTGTGTGCACGATTCCCTTCGTCGTGAAGTTAAAACGGCGGGTGGCCCATTCGTCGTGAAGTTGAGCCTGAAATTGGATATCCTTTGTCGTGAAGTTGAAATCCAAGTAAGTAGCATTGTTCTGAGTCCAATATCCTCCGTCGTGAAGTTGAAATTGGCTTTGGAACCGGGAAATTATTTGTTGACAACCAGCCGTCCCTTTGTTGTGAAGTTGAACTTGTGTTGTCTCGAGTCTAATATCCTTCGCTGTGAAGTTGAAATTGACTCTGAATGAAATTTTGTTGACAATCAGCCGCCCCTTCGTCGTGAAGTTGAGCTTGTGTTGTCTTGGGTCCAAGATCCTTCGCTGAGAAGTTGAAATTGGCTCTGAAATTGGGAAGTTGTTTATTGACAACCAGCGGTCCCTTCGTCGTGAAGTTGAACTTGTGTTGTCTTGAGTCCAATATCCTATGCTGTGAAGTTGAAATTGGCTCTGAAATTGGGAAATTGTTTATAGACAACCAGTGGTCCCTTCATCGTGAAGTTGAACTTGAATTGTCTGGAGTCCAATATTCTTCGTTGTGAAGTTGAAATTGGCTCTAAAATTGAGAAGTTCTTTGTTGACAACCAGCGGTCCCTTCGTCGTGAAGTTGAACTTGCGTTGTCTGGAGTCCAATATCCTTCGCTGTGAAGTTGAAATTGGCTCTGAAATTGGGAAATTGTTTAATGACAACCAGCGGTCCCTTCGTCGTGAAGTTGAACTTGCATTGTCTTGAGTTCAATATCATTCGCTGTGAAGTTGAAATTGGCTTTGAAATTGGGAAATTGTTTGTTGACAACCAGCGGTCCCTTCGTCGTGAAGTTGAACTTGCGTTGTCTGGAGTCCAATATCCTTCGTTGTGAAGTTGAAATTGGCTCTGAAATTGAGAAGTTGTTTGTTGACAACCAGCGGTCCCTTCGTCGTGAAGTTGAACTTGCGTTGTCTGGAGTCCAATATCCTTCGCTGTGAAGTTGAAATTGGCTCTGAAATTGGGAAGTTATTTATTGACAACCAGCGGTCCCTTCGTCGTGAAGTTGAACTTGCGTTATCTGGAGTCCAATATCCTACGCTGTGAAGTTAAAATTGGCTCTGAAATTGGGAAATTGTTTATTGACAACCAACGGTCCCTTCGTCGTGAAGTTGAACTTGCGTTGTCTGGAGTCCAATATCCTTCGTTGTAAAGTTGAAATTGGCTCTGAAATTGAGAAGTTGTTTGTTGAAAACCAGCGGTCCCTTCATCGTGAAGTTGAACTTGCGTTGTCTGGAGTCCAATATCCTTCACTGTGAAGTTGAAATTTGCTCTGAAATTGGGAAGTTGTTTATTGAAAACCAGCGGTCTATTCGTCGTGAAGTTGAACTTGTGTTGTCTGGAGTCCAATATCCTTCGTTGTGAAGTTGAAATTGGCCCTAAAATTGGGAAATTATTTGTTGACAACTAGCGGTCCCTTCGTCGTGAAGTTGAACTTGCGTTGTCTGGAGTCCAATATCCTTCGTTGTGAAGTTGAAATTGGCTCTGAAATTGAGAAGTTGTTTGTTGACAACCAGCGGTCCCTTCGTCGTGAAGTTCAACTTGCGGTGTCTGGAGTCCAATATCCTTTGCTGTGAAGTTGAAATTGGC